AACACAGCTACGAATGCTCAGGGGAAGAAAAAGGCCCGCTTTAGGGTGCAGATAGAAGGGCTGCTCGCCGCCCTACACTGCGCTTCACAGCTGGCCTCACAGAGCTTCTTACCGCTTGGGAATCGTGGTTACCTCCCCAGCTACCGACTTGCAACCCCTAAAAGCCCAAACCCCTCGACCCTAAGGCCTTCACCCTTCAATCCTAAACTCTAAACCCCCGAGCCCTTAAACCCAGAAGCCCCAAACCCGAAACCCCTAAACCCTAAGCCGTGAAGCCCTGGATCCCAGGTGGGTAGTTCTCTAAATTCGGGTCCCCTCTTAGATCTTCCAAAAGGTACGGCACCCCTATAAACAGGACCCTAACAGGGACCCTAATTCATATAAGCAGGACCCTGAAAGGGACCCTAACTTATATAAACAGGCACAGGGCCCTGAAACGGACTTCAATTTAGAGAAGTACTCATATCAACCCTGAAGCCTAAACCCTAACCCCTAGACCCTAAACCCTAAACACTGGTCTCGGGACTCAGCGACCCAAACCCTAAACCCTAAACCCTAAACCCTAAACCCTAAACCCTAAACCCTAAACAGGTGGATTCTGGCCAGGCTCGTGGGGCGGCCGAAGCCCCTGGACTCTCTCCTTAACCTCTGCGGCATTTGCCTCTTTGCCTTCTTCCTGTCGATCCTTGGCGCTTTTAAGGGGTTTAGGGTTTAGGGTTTAGGGTTTAGGGTTTAGGGTTTAGGGTTTAGGGTTTAGGCTTCCTGTCGATCCTTGACGCTTTTAAGGGGTTTAGGGGTTTAGGGTTTTGGGTTTTAGGGTTTTATGGGGTTGGAGTTTGGGATTTACGGTTGAGCCTTTCGTGGGAGGGGAGATTAAGGTTTAAAGGCCGTCTGCTTGCGAGAACCCTCACCGCAATCGTCATCAGTGTTGCAATGGCCATGATGATAGCAAGCAGCGTTAAAGCGGATAAGACAGTTTTCGATTTACAGCACGTCGACGTGCAAGAGTAACGAGGCAACTAGTCATGCGTGGCTGCAGGAGTCACGGCACGGATCGTAGTAGAAACTGAATACGCACAACGGCGGCAATTTTGATCTATCAATTCATCAGCAGTGTCAGTTGTACTCATCGTCGTGGCGGTAAGTGCGACGGTGATAACTTGATGTGATGGCGCAGTAGACATGCCAGACGGACTGGCCGGAAATAAGTGCAACGCCTAGGAGCGATGGGCATCCAAGAAGTGATGGTGCTCAGCACGCGCGAAAAGCAGCACCAGATTCAGTAGCAGTGGGAGTAGTAGTGGTAGCAGCTGCTGCTTTAAACCCGCAAAGCCGCACAGAAAGGGCTCCGTGCAAGCCGTAAAAACCCGGAAGCTCTTCACCCTACTGCCCCGAACCTCTCAAAGTCCTAAACCCTAAACGGTTTAGGGTTTAGGTGTTTAGGGTTGGAAGTTTAGGGTTTAGTAGGCTTAAACCCTAAGCTCTAAAGTGCTCCTCGCAAGGATCACCCTGGCAACGTTGAGCCCTCTGCGCTGCGTGCCAAATCCCAACGGATTCTTCTCAGCAAGCCCTAAACCCTAAACCCTAAACCCTAAACCCTAAACCCTAAACCCTAAACCCTAACGGGCGGGTCATTTGGCGTTTAGGACGGGGTTTAGGGTTTAGGGATCCTCAGGGGCTTTAGGGTTAAGGGTTTTGATGGGATTCGGCTTCGTTTCTGGGAGTTTCGAGGTCTTCTTTGCAATGTCATCTGCATGGGGCGTGTAGTGGATTTCATGTTTGAGCTTCAAGTGGATGGGGATGGGAGGGGTCCCTAAACCCTAAACTCTAAGCCCCAAACTCTAAACCCTAAACCCTAAACCCTAAACCCTAAACCTGCTTTCTTTAGAATGAGGGGCTCATGGGGCTCAAAAGGCTTTGATTCCAAATCGGAACCCCTGCGTCGCATCTTTGTTTCCCAAGCAGTGCGGTACGCGCGGTGGGGTTGTTACGCTCGGAGGAAGGAGTGTGCACATAGCCAAAAAAACTCACATTTCCGCTCGACCCCGCGTCATCCGGAAAGCGCGATTGAGATTCGAGGGTAAAGTCCAACACATCGGCTTCATTTTGGCTTGGAAATGCTTGAGTCCTGCCAGTACATGGGGGGAAGCATTTGGCAGTGGTTCTGCGGCCCTCAAATACAAGGGGGGAAGTATGTTGCTCATGTCCCTGAATCCTGCCAGCACATGACGGGAAACAGTTTGGCTGTGGCCCCTTGGTAGTATCTTTTTAGCATAACCCTAAACCCTAAACCCTAAACCCTAAACCCTAAACCCTAAACCCTAAACCCTAAACCCTAAACCCAAACCCTAAACCTGGTGGTCTCTTGGTGGTCTCCGGGTCGTTGTCGTCCTGGTGGCAGCGGTCGTCTTGGGTGGTCTTCTGATCATCTCTTGGTGCTCTCTGGTTCTGGCCGTCTTTGGGTGGTCTCCTGGCATCTCCTGGTGGTCTTGCTCTTGTTGTGCTGATTTCCGGGTTCTTGCCCTTACTGCTATTGTTGTCAGAATGCTGTGATACTTCCCAGTTTCGGATCCAGCAGGGGACGCTATAAACCCCAAACCTTGCTGACATAAATACTCCTAAACCTAAACCCTACTCCCTAAACCCTAAACCTCACTCCGAAAACTCCCAACACCCTAAACCCTAAACCCTACATCCGAAGCCCTAAGCCTTAGATCCAGGGTCCGGAGGGGAGGAACCCTCACGGTGATCTAAGGCTGCGTCCACGGGAATACAAAATGTTCAAAAAGCCCTAAGCCCTGTACCCACCAAGCTTTGCGGCTGTTAGGGAGTGTTTCTTTTCTGTGTTTACATTATCAGAACTCCAAGGGGTCGTCAACAGCAATTTGTTTCTTACGGTTCTAAGGGCGCTTCAGAAACGCTATTCCGTATACCCTAAACCCGAAACCGCATACCCTAAACCCGAAACCCTAAACCCGAGGAGGTGTCATCTCAAGTTGACCAGAGCCCTAAACCTGACACCCTAACCCCAAAGCCTGGTGTCTGTTTCGGTTTGCAACTCTAGGGTTTAGGGTTTAGGGTTTAGGGTTTAGGGTTTAGGGTTGTTGAATGTCCATGTCTTTTAGGCCTTTGCAGGCTTAGGGTTTAGGGTTTCGGGTTTAGGGCTTAAGGTTTAGGGTTTCTAAGGGCTTAGTAGCGTTTGGAGTGTAGGGGGGTGGGGTTTAGGGTGACCAGCTACCCAAAAACTCGCGACCTTGGATCCATGTGCGCCTCAACTTTCGCGTTCTTAGGAATGTGGTTGTATGTTGAATAGAATGCAGACTCTCAGGGATAAGTAACATGTGTGTGAGTTATTATTATGGATCTGGGATAAGTAACATGAATCTAAATTACTAAACCCTAAACCCTAAACCCTAAACCCTAAACCCTAAACCCATGGATCTAGGGGCACTGAAGTTTAGCGGTGATGGAGCAGCCAAGGCACCAGTTCGCTGATCACTGATCCAGGCTGGGCCTTAATGATGATGGTAATTGGTGCTATAAGGGGCCTTAATAATTACCTACACTATTGTGGGGGGTTCCTGATTAAGATTATAGTATAATATACCCCAAAACCCTATTCTTCACTAAACTTAGTTAGATGAAAATTCTAGCTCCAAGCCAAGCTAGGCATTTGAGTGATGCACAAGACATCTCGCGTTGCTCGCTTCAGACTCGTGTCCGCAGTCACCCCAAAACCCTATTCTAATTATTAAGGCCCATATGGGTAGTTGTCAAAATTATGGTCCCTTTTGGGGTACCCTAAATAAAAGGTGCCGGTTTATAATAAGGACCCAAATAGGGACCATAATTTTGACAACCACCCATATATTACCCGAACATAAACCCTAGTGCCTAAACCCTAAACCCAAGGCTTTAAGCTCTTTAGAGGAAGAGATGTCAACCCCCGGGTCCTTTCAGAATAGTTGGAACGAGGCCCTTGAGGTTCATTCAGGGCTTTTCGGTTTAGGGTTCAGGGGTTTAGGGATTTCGGGCTTAGGGGTTAGGGTTTAGGGTTCTGAACCCTGCAACCCTGATGCCCTTGACATCCTTTGTCCGCCGTAGCTGTGTTGGGTGTGGCGGCGCAGAGCATTCAACACGCATCACTCTTTCATCTCTTCATCAGATCTTGGCAGATCAGATCTGCTTAAGCCTGGTCGGCTATTGTTCCCCTGAGGCAACTCCTGTTCCTACAGCAACCACTGCTAGTCCTACGCCGACGGAGACAAACGACGACGACTAGGTAAACTGCTACTACTCCTGCTACCGCTGCTGCTGCTGCTGCTGCTGCTGCTGCTGCTGCTGCTGCTGCTGCCGCTGCTGCTGCTGCGACAACAACAACCTCCTTGCACTGACTACCGCCGTGCGTATTATAGGCTCTGATAGGCTCTCTCTTCATCTGCCCTCAACCGATAAAGCCAGCAGACAACCCGAGCGTGCCTTGTTGTCGGTATTCAAGCACTGCCCTGTTCGAACGTCATCCTTGGCACCCTCTCAGTCTGCAGGCATCATCTGCTATGTGTCGGACGAGCATCTTTGGCTAGTAGGTTTGGCAGCCGCAGGCGTGCTGAGCCAACCAGTGCCTTGATCCCAATTGCCACAGGTCGTTTGCTGTTGTGACATTGCGTTCTGCAGTGGAACTGACTGCTGCCATTCCCACGCTCCCTATTCCTACGCCTAGTCCGAGCCATATTTGTAGTCCCGGTCCTCTTCCCTGTCTTACTCCTACTCCTACTCTTGCTCCTACTACTCCTACTCCTACTATCACCACCACCCCACGACTTCCACTACTACTAGTACTACTAGTACTACTAGTACTACTACTACTACTACTACTACTACTACTACTACTACTACTACTACTACTACTACCTACTACTACTAACTACTACTACTACTACTACTACTACTACTACTA